TTGATCAGCTTAGAAACACATTACTGTCACAGCTCTCTTGAAATTCCACCTCCGCGGCCACAGAGCTTTAAGCCGTTAAAAAATAAGTAAATAAAATAAAATAAAAACTAGCAAATCTGAATTCATGAAGTGCATGCAGGCAGACGGCAAACGCATAAAGTTCATGTACGAGGGATGAAACACTTCCCCGTCTTTACCTGTCTTCTTGCTGATGATAATAAAGGCACGGAAGATGGAATCACATGCTGAAAGTCGGGTGAATTTTAAACACATGGTGTAAAAAAAGCTTTCATAACTAAAGGACTCTGGAGTGCCTTCAAAGGGTAGTAGCGATTGCTGAGTGTCCTTAAGATGTTCCAGAATATCTAAGTGTTAACTGTTGCACGTCTGAATGCAAGCGTTTTTCCAGTTTTTACTAAACGTCAGAAATGTCAAAATACTTACTGTGTTGCAAGTAAAAAATAAGTAGTGACAGTCATAACCAAGGGGAAAACTTCGCCCACTGAAAGTGAATCCAACGCGGATCCTGAAGAGAGCAAGTACCCATCGACTCCTGTGTTAACATGTCTACAGCCTGGTTCAAAATACATTTTAGGTTTAATAGGTCAAGTTTACCTTCATTGTAACTCTTTTGTAACTCGTCCATTTAGATGTAATTAAATGCTTGAAATTATGAATAATTGGGGGCGTGTCCTTTTGATTGATGTCAGTGCTAGCACTAGCAGCGTAGCTTCCTGCTTGTCCCTGGGAAGGTGTCACGTTTAAACTGTTACAGTCTAGAAGGTAGCAGTCGCTCAACTAGTTATCTGGCTGAAAGCGCCTGCCAACCTTTATTAGCTTTGGTTAGCTTATAGCTACATCAGCTCATTGTATGTTGGGTGCCACAGCCCCTCAGCTCCATTTTTGTATAATCGGGGAGGAGTGACGCACGCGGCCAAGATGGCGGTGGTGGGAACCTCCTAATTCTATGGTCATAATCTAACTGCATCTGATTTTGTTTGAAAAGCCTTCTTGTTTGATGTCATGAACGCATGTCTGGTTCGATCAGGGTTCGTTGTTTCTGTAAAACTAGCAGTCGTGCAAAGTTAAACAAACCCGCCTGCATAAAGAAAAAAACCAACAACATGCAGTAACAAAGATTACATGGTTCCCCAGACACTGCTGTATGCTGCGTTACGCCTGCAACACACATGCGCCGACATGTCAGTTTGTTACAAACATGAAGTCGAACTCTTACCTTTCAAGTTCTTTTTAATGAAACAGACGAATCAGATAATCCGGTGTTTCAAACCTGCGTCCTGTTGGTTGAGTTCTGCTTTGACTCCTGCTTCCAGGTGACAGTTAATGTGTTTATAGCAGGCTGAGGAAACACTGACAAGGCCTCGGTTAATATTGTACTTTTAACAAGTGTGATTACATCTGGGACACGCCCACCCCAAACATGCCCAGAGAGATGAGCCCAATGAGCAATGTTTAAACCAAAACAGAGAAAAAAACGAATCGTTATTTATGGGAAAGATGATTCGTCTTTTCAAACTAGCTCCCACTGGACAACCTGAAGGTGAAATAAACCTGTCTGTGTAGTTTAAAGACCAAGTTCACACATTTTGTTCTACACATTTGCAGTGGTCTCTAGTATGAATAAATGCGTTGTGAGGCAATTTCTGTGGCGCCCGTTTCAGGAAGTAGAAGTTATTCTGAGCAGAAAATGACAGGATTTGGATTCTTACTCATTATAATTCATAACATTGTGACCTCTTGCCTCTTGACTAGCAAACAGAAGCACAACTCTTCAACGTTGATGTTTTATCTCCACAAATAACACAAGTAGAGCCCTGCACTGAAGCCCTAGGCCCTCGGGTCGGGCTTCAGGCCAACGACTGTGTAATTACCTCGGACACGGGCCGGGCGCCTTTATTTTTAATCAAATTCATAAAAAAAATTTAAACACTTAAACCAGGGGTCGGCAACCTGTTCCCATCAAAGAGCCATTATTACCCGTTTCCCACAGTTAAGAAAACACTGGGAGCCACAGCAGCCGCGGCGTTGTGGGCGGGGCCTACCCTCAGACAGCAGAGAGCTGCTCACAACAGGTGACAGCAGCCAGTACCGGTCGCTCGTGTACGTCAAAGTTATCTTTCATAAGACGATAATCAATAAAACGATTTATATAAAGTGGATCCAGAAGTTGTAGCCCGTCTCTGCCTACAATATTTAGATATTTTTCACCCTGTTGGTGGTTTTACTGAGCAGGTGCCACTTTTGTCATACGTTTCTTTTTAAAACATGTTTAGACTGTTCAGAATACAAATCCAGGCTCTGTCACGTTTGATTGTTGTAATTAAACTTTGTAGGTGGGGAAGGTCAGAAAAGGATCCGATCAATTTGTTTTTCCCTCGTTTACAGTGACGGAGATAACGGCGCAGTGCGCCTGGCTCTGGTGATAATCAAGTTTAATTTAATCTATTTTCACAAAAAAACTGAACAGTTAAAAGCAGGGCTTGTGTTGACCGGATAGTTCCCGTATTTGACCGTTTATTTTGACGGAGAAAGAATAGAAAGAATTACCGCGACACATGCAAATGAACTGACATTTTATTCTACGCACATCGCAGATGTAGCTAAATCACTCAAGAAAAGATTCTCATCTGAACATCTGAGCTGGACACTGCTCAGCGCAGCTCACTGTCAGCGTGTACTACATAAGGTACACAGCGAGCTGAAGATGTGGAGAGGGGCTTGGAGCACGTCACAGAACCAGAGCGCATGCGGGAACGCTGATCTGAATCTGATGCGGCTCTCTGTGCTTGTAAAATAATGAATGGATATTTAAATAAAATGCTTTATATTTTACTGAATTAATTTTATATCTGTAAGTCAATTCTATGTAAAGATTGTCTGCATAAACCTGAACAGGTCCAAACCAGTCTTACTGTGAGACCGGGTTGACGGGTCACGCTTGTGCTTAATCATAGGCGCTTCCTGAGCTGAAGATGAGATTCTGGGCTTCTCCTCAGACGGCTCCTGGATGCGTCGCCACATTGGAGACAGGAACAAGCGCTATTCAGCCAAAGTTTCATAATCGGGGAACATTTTCTAAGTGACAAGTCTCTCTGAGAGACCGGGTTTGGAAAACACTCGCTTCAGTGGGAGGAAGCTTCCCGCATGCGTTCTGGTTCTGCAACTCGCTCCAAGCCAATCTCCACAACTTCAGCTCGCTGTGCACATATGCGCTGAGAGCGAGCTGCGCTGAGCAGGGCCCAGCTCAGATGTTCAGATGGGAATCTTGTCTTGGGTGATTTAGCTACATCTGCGATGTGCGTAGAATAAAATGTCAGTTCGTCTGCATGCGTCGCAGTAATTCTTTCTATTCTTTCTCCGTCAAAATAAACGATCAAATACATAAACTATCTGGTCAACACAAGCCCTGCTTTTGACTGTTTTGTTTTCTTGTGAAAATTGTTGGAAAGAGATCAAATTTAACTTGATTAACACCAGAGCCAGTGCGCCGTCATCTCCGTGACGGTAAACGAGGGAAAAACAAATTGATCGGATTCTGCACGTCTTTTAACACATTGGTCAGGATTGATGCACTTTGTTTTCATTTAGTTGGTTAAAATAAAGTCGGGCTCGGGTCGGGCCAGAGAATCCAGAAAACCTTTTCGGGCCGGGTCGGGCTGGGGCTCCACCCCCTCGGGCAGCGCCGGGCACGGGCTCAGATTTTAGGCCCGTGCAGGGCTCTAAACACAAGCCTGAAGGGGTATGGCCATGTGGTGGGGTTGCTAATGCTAACGGTTAGCTTCTACTAATTGAGACACTATTTAGTTAACACTAAAGCCTGGTTTATGCTTCTCCGTCAGCTCCGCAAGGGACAGACACGCACGGATTGACGGAAGCGTTTTGCTCTTTTACTTCTCCGTCTCCTGGAGAGTGTTGCAAAGCAATTGCCCGGCAGGACAACAGAGGGCGTAGCGCTGTTCTGTGGTATCCTGTCATGTATCGGTCCAAGATCGTGTGTTTATATTGTGTTTTTTGTGTTTATAAGAGACTTTTAACACTGACATATTTGTCTCTCATTCTCCCACCTCTTCATGCGCTCCCCACCTCTAAACCCACGTTTCCTGTCATTTCCATCCACAAATAAAATGCTTGCTGCGCATCTTTTCACTCCTCCAGTCACGGGAGGATGAAACGTTCATATTTTTAGAGTTTTTTCGCGAGGTATTCTTCAAGCTGCTCCGTGTCTGCCGCTAGTTATCCTCGGCTCTCTTTGCAATGGAGGCGCTGTAAACAACAGCGGCGTCCTGACCAATCACAAGCTTGCGTAATCCGTCTCGTTCGACGGATGTTTAAAAAAGTGGGCTCGACTCCGTACGTACTTGCGTGCCCTACGCAAGGACGGATAATGGCGTTGCGTGTCTCCGCACTGACGCAGACGGAGAAGCATAAATCAGGCTTAAATAAACAGCAGCCTTCTGCAGCTGCAAGCCAAGATGGGTGAGTCCATGAATGCTAACTTACGGTGTGACATAGATCTGTGTGACTTTTCCTGCCCTGAGCATTTCCTTTCTATTACATTTGGCAGCTAATGAAGGAAATAGGGGTAAAAGACTATTTTCACATTCAGCCTGCATGTGAAAAAAAAACAAGTAAAAATGGGTTTATCAGTGAACTTGCTCTTTAAATAGCATTTTTTTGCTGCTAAAACAAAGAGGTGAAAATACAGAAAAAATAAAATGTATTTTTGTATATGGTTTAGATGTTCTGTTTACGTTTTTTATGTGCCATCACTTTCATCTTACCATCCACACCTGAGTCTTTCTTCTAAAACAAATTATCGCCAGTTTAATAAACAACCATTTATCTGGTTACAACCATAGTTACGGACATTCCTTTCATAATTATTCTTCTGCAAAAGTGTGAATTTATCGACTTTTCATAAAATTTAAATAATCAGTTCATGAGAACAGTGTTCAAAATCAAACAGGATAACCTCTACATTCAGAGATATATAGTATTTAATTACAAATAAAACACTATCACATGCATCCATTTATTACATTTTAAGGCCCTGCAACATGTAATGAGTATATATTGCTAAAGTCATGGTTACAGGTATTTAGTCATGATTGTTTATCTGTTCCAAAAGGGGCCAACACATATACAGGTGTGTCATGACACGTCTGCTCAGTTTAATTATTTTGCATCACATTGCAAAAATGACGAAAAGCCATCTTAGTTCTGTTAAAATACAACTTTAGGTCTTTAAATTTCTGCTGCAATAGTTCATTCCACATATTTCTTAAAACCTGTCTCTTGACAGTCCATGTGTCTTTCTCCAGTACGTCGTCCTTCTCCTCACTGTGGTCCAAGGCCTCCCTGCGTGCTCTGGCTGTCGCTGTGGTCGCTTCCCCAAAGTCGGTAAAACTGGCTGAAGTCCACGTAGGGTGGGACCCTGCCTGTCTCATCAGGCTGCGCCACTTGGTTCCCTCTCTGGCTCTGGAACAGACCTCCATCCCCTGAGCTGGAGCTGGAGCTCTGGGTCTGGTTGTTGGTGGACTGCAGGGTGGCTGTGGGGCTCTGACTAGTGGGGAGAGAAGAGGAGGAGAAAGGTGGGTGGTTGGGAAATATAGAGGAGCAGGAGGAGGACACAGGTATAAGCATTGGAATAGAGGAGGACGACGTGGGGGCATTAAAAGAAGCAACGAAGGCCGTGTCGTCGGTGGAGAAACAAAATAAAGAAGTAAAAAGAGGAAGGGGTTGGGCAGGAAGAGGGGGAGAAAAGGGGGAGGTGGAGGGAGAGAGAGGTGGATGCTGGGAAAGCTGGAGTTTCATTAGGGGCTGCAGGATGTCAACAGAAGCTTGGGAGGGAGTCGGGTGAAGCGTGCTAAAGGAGAAAAGAAGAGGACAACGACGAGCCAGGATCCACGAAGAAGAGGAACATACAGATGCGAGTCAGCGAGAGAAGCGGGAGTAGAAATCCTTCAGGGTGACTCAGAAAAGTGAGGAAAAGAGGAGAAAGGAAAGGTGCACGTGCAGCTCCATTTATTCTGTTTAATCAAACACGAAGGGTTAGTCACAGGTTTCATGCAGCGAGTCGTTTCAGACGAGGACAAATGCAGAAGCGTTCAAATTGCACAAACAGATGCCGTTAGATAAATTCCCTTTATGAATATATTCTACAGCCTTACGCTGTAAAAAAGCACATCTGAACCTGTGACATCGACCAGCTTTCATTATTGTTTGTTTGGGCTGTAGGAGGAGGGAGGAGTGGAGGGACGCGGTAGGTGAAAACCAAGCTTACCAAAAATAAATGCAGCAGGGGAGGAACAAGGAGGTCTTTAACTGGCTTATTTAAAATCAAACCAAAACAAACTCAGGAGCTAAAATAAAGCTCAGCCAACCGAGCAGCAGCAGAGCAAAGGAGGGCAATCAAGTCTGACTTAAGAGAACTCTCGGGCTTACCTTGGTGTGGGGGTGCCTTCCTCTAGGGTGGAGGCGGTGTTGGTTCCATTGGTGAGGGTATTTTGTGAGGGCATAACCAGTGAAAGAGTGACGCTGGTTTTACTGGTGCTCTGGCTGTTGGAGTACGGCACCGACACGGGATAGATACGACCTCCTGGAGGAAGAGTTAGGGTTTGTTTGTCACGTGGCTGATTTAACCGGTTTTTTTTTTTATTATTTCACTGCAGAAGAAAACTTTATTGTCACTGAACGAGCATCCCGGTACAGCAAAATTACATAATGCTCCTTTAATACGTTACTTATCAAAATACTAGAGATCCTGATGACTTAGTGCAAAGCCGATTTGGTGGAATCCATTATAGACTTGATCTGCAATCAGTGTTAAGCCGAGATAGAAAGGAAGTGAACTTCGGTTTACAAATAACATAAAAATTGGATTTGTTTTAAAATCTTCTGAAGTCAAAATGATTTAAACCTTTTGCTTATCCACCATTTTCTGTGACTGATACCTTTATGATGTGATTCTAAACTATAGATATACACTGAACCAGGAACACTGTCGTGGCGTCGCCATGACAGAGACGTAAAACTTCCTACCATGTGTGGGCGTGTGCACCGCATCGGCCAGCGGGTAGTTGAGTGTGCGGATGAGAAGGGTCATGTCCTCGTGCCGAGAGCAGTAGGGCGCCCTCTGACGTCCCGACACATAGACGTCATGGTGAAGCCTCTTGACCCGCTCCACCACGGACTGAGCCACTGCCTCCAAATTGGTCTGCTGGGCCAGCTCCGCTGCTACCATGGCAACAATCTCCTACCACAGCAGCATCAAAAAGAGGATGAATGTTACATAAAAAAGGAAGAACGATAATTAAAAATAACGAAATGTTGGAAGGAAGGAGAAGAAAATAGAACAAGAACAAAAAAAGTAAACAGTTGTGATTTTTGGGTTCAAGTGGACTGCACAAAAAGCTAATCAGCCACAAAAAAATACGCCAAACGAGCAGAAAGTGTTTAGAAATTAAAGGATTAAATTATTTGAGTATTTTCCAGCAGGAAGAAACAAATGGAGGTGGCTGCTGACCTGATTGACCTGCTCAGGACCGTGCGCAGACTCAAGGGCGTTTATCAGACCCTCTGACATCAGCAACAGAAAGCCTGTCACGCCCTCCAAAGACTGGCTGCCGTGAATCTCTGGCTCGGCGATGATGGGCCTTGACTTGGCCGCACTGATGGGAGAAAAAGCCACAGAGGGAAAGAAATGTTGATTATAAAATTATAAGCTGAACAAGGTGGATCAAAAATAATAATAATCATTTAAAAATAAACCCGTGAAGGAATGTTGGGAAAACTCTGAATCAGAATTGTAAAAACCCCTGAGTGCATCTGACCTACAGGCAACATATCCTCGCTGATCTTATTGATCCCAAAAAATCTGCTACATTTTGTCTGAGCTTTATTTAATCTTCTGCACTCTCTTTTATAGAATTAGAGATCGCTTTGTAAAGCTACCATAGTGTCTGACGGTTGGGTTGTAACTAGAAACATGGAAATTCAAGTGGATGGAACAGGAACGAAGGGAAGTAACGGAAGCAACCGTCACTCTACTCTGAGAAGACTGAAGCTGAAAACCATAAAAAGGTACCAGTCCTTGATGTCCCTCAAATAATTCCAAATCTTATGTTGGATCACAAATAGTAATGGAGTGACATTTACAATTATTTTATATATCTGCATCAACCGATAAACCTGCTTTGTTGAGCCGATTTAAAGTCAGGCACATTCATGGACATCTCAGTAATAACGCTGAATTTCACTTAAATGTATATTTACGTTCCTAGAAAAACATCTGCTTAATAAATAAAATAAATAAAATTTTATTGTCGACTGATTTTTTAAACGTATTTATGTTTTAGATTTAAAGGCACGCTTGGCAGTTTTGCTTATATTTAGCACCCCCTAGTGTCTGGTATCAATTCTCTTTGGTTAAACCGAAAATGAAACATACCTCCTCGCTATGCGTTCGTCTTTTTAACACCTTAATCTAAAAGCAGAAGTGTCTCCCCAGCCTTCATTAGTGTCTACAGGAGTGTTCATCTCTAAATGAAACACATCAGCTGTGTTCACGATCTAAAACCTACAAGAAACATGTTGGAAAAAGACTGTTAGGGTTGTTTTGGTTCTACAAACGGACACTAGAGGGTGCTAAAAACAAGCCAAAACTGCCCTGTTGCCCTTTAACCCTGTAATGGGTCATTTTAGCTCACATTGGTTCAGTGATTTGCATAGTATCCCTTTAACACTTGCTCAATTAACTGGTTTGTTTGTTTAACTTTGGTTAAATGTTGGATTTTAATGCTGAGCACAGAATTAAGATTCAACAGTGGGTTAAATTGAGTGTTTAAAAACGGATTCAGGTTCATAAATATTGTGCATCAGCTGTTATTAAAAAATTTCAGCAGGTAAACAATGTGGAAAAACTTAGGCCATGGAAATCGACAGCACATATCGGCCAACGGCTGACCGTGACCTCTACATATCGGCATCGGCATAGAAAAACAGTTGATCTTCCATCACAAACACTGACAATAAAGTTGGAAAAAAAAAAAGACTCAAAATTTAAATGAGGTAACGCAGCAAAGAGAAATATGTTAGTATGAGCTTAGAAAGTTCATAACAACCTGAAATACAAATTTTTCACAAATTAAAACTTACTTGTGTAGGAACGTTTACAAAATTCTCTCGAAAATAATAATGCAAGTTTGATAACAGCGTAAAGGTCTAAAAAGTTTGCTGTGAAATTTTGGAGATAGACAGTAACACGTCAGCCCAGATAACACACATTTTACAGTGCAATTCATAGAAATCAGAATCTAGAAATCATCGTAGTAATTTGTTTTCATATGGATCAGAATAATTAAGAAGACATGAATGTGACCTAAATTAACAGAACGGGTCAGCAGCCAAAGACACAACGAAGTAAAGGGACCGTGGGAAGTTCTCAGTCAGTGTCGGCAGCACGGGCGTCACCTGAGCAGATCGATTTCACTGTAGTTAAACTTGACTCTGTAGTCGCCGAGCCTCCTCACGCTGCTCTGTCCGGCTATCTGTCCCGCTTGTCTCACTCGAGCTGCATCCACACCTGCAAAACAGGACACGCCATGCAGACACATCAGAGCAGATGGAGGAGGCTCCTCCATACCGGAACTGAGCTGTCTGACATTTAGTAATCCAAAGGGTTCAAATTAAGGCTACTGGACTCCTTTGGTTTCTTGAAGACGTTTCGCTTCTCATCTGAGGAGTTCTGTCATTTCTGACCGGAATTTGGGAGAGTCCAGAAACTACTTATGAATTGACCCCCCCACCCCCACCCCCACCCCCAAGAAAACAGATGGGCCATTCCCATCTGTACCGGGTCGGCCCGGGCCGGGTAGCGTAGGTTGTTTACATATCTGGGTGGCCTGGTATTTTTCCGGGCCAACCAAGGCTCATTCTCAGCCCTCTTCTCGAGGTGGTCTGCTTCAGGCTGACCAGGGCCAACACACCCACTGCTGACAGCAAATTCACGCCTTCCATTAGAGCAAGCCTCTGATTGGTGGGTAGAATCAGCCCACATGGGCTTAAGGCAAGGATGTGTGGAATCAACCAGGCCAGGCTGGGGCCGACTGGGGCTACCCGGCCCGGGCCGACCCGGTACTGATGGGAATGGCCCATGAAAGCTCCATCTCTATTGGTGCAGAGTCAGTTGCTAAAATATTAATGCACCAAGTTCCCCATTATATCCCTAAATTCCATCCGGAATGTTTGGATGTGTTTTCTGTTACATTTACTCTTCTCATTCCTGGACCATTAGCTGAGTTGTTCTCCATGGATCAATGACTCCAAGTGTGTCTGTGAAACAGTTGCTGCTCCGACAGCTGCACTCCACCCACACGGAAGAAGGTGGCGGCGTCTGCTAATACAGCATTTCACTACAACTACAATACGAACGAAGTTGAATACATTGATTTGAATTTGCTTTTCACAGACAAAACAAGAAGCCCTACAAGTAATACTTCCATAAATATGATTTAATGTACATGTGAAGTACACAAAAGAGGGTAAACAAAGACATGATTTGACTTTCCATTTCCATCATGTCTCTGTAAACACACGAGTGCATCTCACCTAGCGCTGCCAGTCTCTGCAGCTCATCCTCGTTGTCGGTACTGTGAGGTCGACCGATCTGAAGGACCTGGTTCTGACCGTCGACGCTTGACTTGCAGAGCAGGGCTCGGTTGGTACCTGGAGCCACACATATTTGTTAAGAGTCAACATCAAGAAAAAAGGAGAAAGGAAATCCTAGCATTCCTTGAAGGAATGCAACATTCATCCCAGTGTATACAATAAAATCCTTTTATGTAGAGAAAGAACAAAGTTTCAGTCATTTTTGGTCAAATCTTGTAAATTATTTTATTTAAAAAGTGAATTACATGAAGATCTGTGAAGCAGTAAGTACTATTTTTCTGTATCTGTACTTAAAGGTGTGGAACTCTGAAAAAAAAAACAGTTTTTAATGGTTATTTCTGATTATAATCAGTCACTCTGAGTTTGTGTGCAGACTGAAAATGAAAATAGTCTCCTACACCTATCTCCTGCATTAGCTTCTCTGAGAAAATAGGCGGTGAAACTAGGATTTAAAAAGCCTGACAGATCTACGTCACACTGTCACCTAACATTGGTGGACTCACCCATCTTGACTAACTACGGGGATGGCTGTTATAATGAATGACCCACACTTGTACAGTGCTTGTCAGAGTCTGAAGACTCCAAAGCTCTTTACACTACAGTCTATCATTCACCCATTCACACACACACATTCACACACTGGTGGTGATGAGCTACAATGTAGCCACAGCTGGGGCACACTGACAGGGACAGGTCTGCCTTACACAGGCGCCGCCGGTCCCTCCGAACACCACCAGAGGCTAGGCTAGGTGGGTTAAGTGTCTTGTCCAAGGACACAATGAAAACGGCGGGGCTCAAACCTGCAAACTTCAGATTACGGGACGGGCACTTAACTTCATGTGCTACTGTCGCCCACAGGTAGAAGCTAACCTTTAGCAATATCGACACCATCACACGTAAAAACTCCAGGGTTGAGTTATTTGTGGAGATAAAACATCAACGTTGCAAGTCAGCGGTTGAGTCGAGTTGCTGTTGTCCAATCCAAGGCGAGATGTCCAAATATCAACAAATAAGACTCCAGGGGCCTCATTTATCAAGCTTGCTCACACACAAAACGGGGTCGGAAAACTGCGTAAGCAACTTTCCACGCAAACTTTGGGATTAATGAAAGAAAAATGTGCGCAACTTTAAGTTGACGAAGGACCTGGCTTAGGCACATGTTGGACATGGAGAGCACCTGCAGTGCTGCTGCTGAGAAGGATAAAATTATGAAATCCTGCAGCATTATCTCTTGTACTGCTTCGTTTTCACACAGAACAAGACCCCCCACACGCACACACACGCGCGCACACAGCCTGAAGCGCAGAATACGGAATGCAGAATATCAGCAGGGGGACTGAGTGAGACAGAATGTCATGCGTCTGTGACAGTGTGTGTCCTGTCGCTGTGACCCGATTGATCATGCGCCCTGGCTACTTGGACAAGGGAGATCTCCGTTTGGGTGACTGGATAACACGTGACTTTCACCCAGGAGTCTGGAGATCGAATCCTGATTGGACCATTTTTTTTATATCTGCCATGGATCTCTCTGAAGAACTCAACATTGACGGCTTCAGCAACGCTGTGCCACTCCGTGGATTTTCTCTTGTTTTGCAAAAGCACTTCCTTTCATTTCTCCACCTCACCCACAAGTACCTCAAATTATGCTTGTGAAATAGCACTTCCGTGATCTGCCTTGATCTACGGTCGCCATTGGCGGAGCGCTGCAACAGCTGTCTTATGTACGTGCATGAGATCCACAAGGCACTTTGCAAGCGGAGATTGCGTGCAGCTGTGCGTACTCCATGTTTGATAGATCACAAACCTACTTGGCGTAAGTAAATTTTTTTTGCTGAGCTTAAGTACGGTTTTAGTAAGGATTCTACGCAATGTTTGATAAATGAGACCCCAGTTCCTGCCAGGTTGTGCCACTCTCTGCTGCAGCAGACTTGTCCCTGCTGATCCAAGCGCTTCTGGGCTTTTTTTGCCCTGAGTACGGCTTGAAAGGTATTCATTCCTACCAGAGAGCACTGCAAACATGCTGATTAAACGACTTTCCCACATCTTTACGTTTTCTTTTGAGGCCTACTTTTTTACTTACTACATTTTAAGCAAATATCTATACTTCCGTTACATTTTCTAAAAAGTTTCAAAAGTAAAAGTACTTTACTTTGTGTTTTGTCCGACTCCCACCTCACCCCCCCCCCCCAATCCGATGGAGACCGGCAGCGCACTCCCTTGTCTACACCGAACAGCAGTTCCAAAGGTAATAGTACTTTAACTTGAGTTTTGCCCCGCCCCCCACAATCCGACAGCACACTTCTATACACACAACACATTTTGAATGTTAGTTGTAATACTTTTACTTTTGAGTACACTTGAAAACGTATACTTAATACTTTTACTTAAGTCAAAATCGTCTCTTTCTTTACTTTAGTATTTTTTTTTCTCCTTTATCTGTACTTACCTACTCCATGAAGACTCTTAGAGTAATGATACTTTTCTGCAGAAGACAAAAACCTATTCTCATCTAAAGGTGATTTCTTTAGTGGAATATGTAGAAATGTAAAATAAAATAAAATAAAAAGTTTATTTTCATTTGAGCTAGTGGTGTGATCTACACAAGAGGCTACTCTCATTACTGAAATTCCTCCACAATGACATTTATTAACATTTAAATTTCATTTGGGAGAGTTGGGATGTGTTTGTTGTGTTTTTATTAACATACAAATGTTTAACAAGTCAACACATGTTCAATTAAAAGGCCACTCAGGTCACCTTTAATTTTAAGTGTCAGACAGACGGCTAGCATCGCTTAAACAAAACAAGCACACAAAGGGACGTGTCTTTATATTTGATTAAAAAGTCTAAAATAGGAACCTTTGTGGTGTTTTTTAAAACTAAATCAATGTTTTGTGGATGAAGCCAAACAAAAGCTGGCCCCAAAACAGATCAATGATTAATTAACTTCCATAGTTACTCTTCTGGGCCGCTGAGCAGAGCATTGATGCATTTTCAGACCAACCCCACCCAAGTTTCATCATCTGAAAGAGTCTGAAACCATGTGTGACCCCTAATCTAATCAAGACGATACTGAGGATCCAGATCCGGATAAGGATCAGAGCCAGGTGTTGGAATAGACACCGTGGTCACAAAACCATCTACTCTTTTGAGTTTTAGATGGTTTTGGAGCTTCATTCATTCAGGTTTCCTTGATTGGAACACTATATTTATTAGATGGTTTTGGAGCCACACACACACACACACACACACACACACACACACACACACACACACACACACACACACACACAAAATAGTGATGAGATCAGAAAAAAAACAAAGCTCAGTGACAACGTTTACAGTAATGTTGGTAATCTGTAACACTTTAATTGGGAAGACTTTTAGGAAACTGAAGTTAAAACAAAAAAAGAATAAAATGTACTAAATACAACAAATACTGGCCCTCAGGCCCACAATTGAACACTGCTGATCTAAAGGCTCAGGAACCCTTTACATGTGTTTAGGATTCATTAGCTGATTACAGTGTGACACTTTGAGTCTGGAACACTGAACCTTTTCACAAAATTCTAATTGTGTGAAATTCTGAATGTGGGGTTTTCAGCTGTAAATCAAAACCATCACAATTATAACAAATAACGGCCTAAAATATATGGCTCTACATGGAATAATTCTGACTTTAGATTAGTTTCACCTTTAAGTTGAATTTCTGACACAAATGAACTTTTGCACCAGATTCTAATTTTTCGAGTTTCACCTGTACCTTCCTCTGTAAAGGTTTTTCATGCTAAAAGCAGCAGATTCTTGTGGACCAGAAATGTAATCACGAAGGGAATGGTGGTTGATATTAGGGATGTGTATTGGTGAAATTCTGGCAATACAATATGCATCACGATACGGGGGAGACGATACAATATATCACAATATATTGCGATACATTCAGTCAGACAATAGTAGCGATTTTTTAGACTGAATCTATTGTAGGAAATTTCAATTAACTGTCCAAACTGATATTTAACATGTTTATCGTGATGTATCTGAACCATAATTAAGAAATTTACATTTCAATAGTGGAAACAAAACCCACTGCACACTGCTGCCAACTAGAAGTCGGCGTTTGAATTGCACCAAAGGAAATGAAAATACACAAATGTTTGCATGTGAATTCTTCCCAAAAGTCGATACACGGCTTTTGAATATCGATATAATATTGCAGGAAACAATATCACGATATATTGCCATATCGATATTTTCTTACATCCCTAGTTGATATAATGTGATGCTGCTTACTCATAACCTTATCTTTATGTGAATATGTTTAGGCAACATTAAGTTCAGGACTTTTTATATATTTTATTCAAATTAAATACCTATAACAAGTCCCGTCCCAAACATGGTAGCACCCTAAATCTGCTCTCTCCTGAACCGGACTCTCTACTGGATGCGTTAGCGGCGCATTGCATTATTGATGCATTTTACCCACAAGCTCCCTTCCCACCAGGAGCGTTTCAGACGAAAGTAGGCAGCAAAAGCGTTCCACACAGCTGGTTCTGCGAGGTCACAAAATCACAGGAGTATTTCAAGACCACACATGATTCTGGAAGTTAACGCAATAACAAGCAAGAAGAAAGATGGCTGCATGTATTATTTTCCGTGTACCTTGACTACAAAATGTTCACAGGCCGCGTACATTTTAAAAGTTAACCAACTGGATATCAGGAACTTGCTTATTTTGAAAGTTACAAGATGTTTTACACTTAGTTTTTTCTTTCTGTCCGGCATCAATCTGAATTCTGGAAGAGTAGTGCGTAAAAAACAGACTTGAAGCATAAGTGACACATCCTGACATTCATAGGACGCTTCCAAAATGTGTTGCTTTGTGGCCGCTTACCGGATATCCACTACAGCGATGGCTCATTGCAGCGTGCTACGTTTCGTGTCTGGCAGAACGGCACGGTCAGAGTCCCATCCTTTCTTTGAAGCCCAAATTAGAAGGGATCAAAATAAAAATTCTGACTATTAATATGTAAAGAGTACAAAAACTTGACCCATTTCTGACTCGGGGAATAGAGTTACAAAAAAAAAAAGTACTAAAGCATTAACAGCTTGTTTCACTCTATAACCGACAGGGATGGGTACCTTTGACATTTGAATCGATCCGGTACTAATTCCCGGTACCTACGAATCGATACCGGTACTTAACGGTACCAATTTTCGATACTTTTGAGTGTTTATTATTTTAATTCTCTTTTATAATTAAATATATATTTTTCTCAATATATAACAATATTTGATAAATATCACGATAAATAACATACAACTGTTTGTATTTTAACATCGTCCTTGTAGTTTTATAAGCTGATAATTAAACTGAAGCAAACATCTTTACTGTGAACTAAATTTACTGTGTATCTTCATTCCTTTTGCCGTCTTTTTTCATTAGATTTTTCCTATTGGGAAGTCAGAATTTCCGAGGAGAAAGCGAACGCACCATTAGCTGATAACAATGGTAGCAATGGAAGCTAACATACCAAGCTAACGTTATCTTAAACAGTTTATTTAGTTGCTGGAGCAGATTAAAACAATGATGCCTCACAATTAGATCGTTGTCACTGGTTTCATCTTCACCCGTCACATTTAGTAAAGTGAAGCCAAACTTTAGAGCGTGTTCATGTTCTTCTAGTCGAGAATTCGGAGTTCCGAGGAGAAAGCGAACGCACCATTAGCGAAACGGAAGCTAACATATCAAGCTAATTATATTTACCTACCGGAGCAGATTAAGATGAGGATGGCTCACTTAGATCGTTGTCGCTGGTTTCATCATCACCCAGTTACCCATCACATTTAGTGAAGTGGACCCAAGCTTTAGCGTGCGTTCTTTCTACCATGCTGCTCTGTTTACAACTGGCTCGCAGCGAGCGACGACATAACACTCTTGCGCAAGCGCAGCTGTCTTGGCAAGTTCTCATTATGATGGACGGGTACCGAAACGAGGCACCGTTTCAAATTACGTGAATCGGTGCTCGGTCGGTACTATGGAATTCGGTCGGTACCTTAAAAAGTACCGAATTCGGTACCCATCCCTAATAACCGATGACCAGTAAAGCAAGAGAAAATTCACTTTAAGTTCATATTTCAGAGGCAAAATGAATGAATGAACGAACGAACAAACGAACGAACGAGTAATCTATTTCAAACTAAAAAACAAACAAAACATAAACCACATGTGGAAACAAAATCCACACTGACACTGTTAGCACGCTAAAATGTAGACGCATCCTTGTGGCCAATTCCAGTGAAGTTGGAAATCATCAGTTTTATTTATTCTTGTTTTTGTTTAACAGTAAAATCATATTATAAATCTCATTACTATCTAAATCATTAAATAATCTTTATTTTTAGAAAGTTTGTGATGAGTTTGTAAACTTTTGGACCCTCTAGGATCATGAGGAAGCACGGGAAGGTTTTAGATGATTTTTTTTGACCACTTAATAGATTTGTTTGGTTAATTTAAGTTGGATTCCGTTTAGGTTGAAGATGAAAGACATTGCTGGATGATTTTGAGCTGAAGTAATCTCTGCATTACAATGGGCCAAACTCAAACCTGCACAAAGTCTGACATCTGCTGGTTTAAATGAGGCAGTGACCTGTCTGATATCAGACACACGTCAACACTAGTCACCTGCTGCTTTTACTTAGAATTAAACCTCTGCTTCATTTAAAACAAATTCAAAATGATCCTTCTTGAATCTTGAACTCAGCGGAGACAAATCAAGCCCATGTACGCACCGACATTGGCGATGTAGAGCTTGTTGTCCAGAATCAGCGCCACCACAGCCGTAGCTCCTCCTGACACTTCCTGCTCCAGATCCTTCAGGCGCTCCTGCACCTTCTGATTCTGAGGAGAGAGCTGATGGAAGGACACATTCTGACCAGCCGGGACAAAAAGGGTGGAGAGAAAGACAATTCCATTATGAATGGAAGGAGGACATAGGAATGAGACAGGAGTGGGAAAAAAGGGAGACTGGTGGAAAATAGAGAAATTCAAAAAAGGGTTGTATATTCTTACATGGACAATGACAATCATTAAAGATTAGGTAAACAAGATCAAAGGCAACTGGAAACAGGAGAAAGAGGAAAATTGTGAGATGACATCAGGCGAGGAAAAAAAAACACAGAAGTGGATCCAGAGAAAATGAGCTGAGATGGATCCATCTTTACAAACAGGCTAATGAGACCACTAAAACACAACAAGCTCATCTTTGGTGTGTTCTTACTGTGTCTAGTTTCTATTTCCATTTTTGGTTCTTTTTAAAACACAGGAAAGGTTTCTCTTTACCCTGCTGACGTACGTTTCGTTTGCCGACTGCAAAACATCCTCAGAGCTGACGCTGATGGTGGCGTCACCTCCTACTCCGTTTATCCGCGGGCAGCAGAGGATGTTGTCGCCCTCTGCTGCCCGCTCTCCCCTCTCCGATGATGCAGTCCCATGCGCGATCCAATGAGTAAACTCCATCGTCTCTGTTCATGGTCCCGCATCCACGTCTCCTTATCTCTATAGCTTCTATTGTTCGTGTGTTGAGTTGGTGTCCGGTTTCTCCTATGTATGTTTTATTGCAGAGTTTGCATGCAATAGAACAATAGAAAGGAGTGCGAGAAAGAAAATAGTCGAAGACACACAAGAGCAGCAAAACAAGAAGCAGAAAGCACAATGAAGAAGTCAGCCGTAACAGATCACTCCACAAGAGAAAACCATGTAATGGACTGGGACAACACAAGGATCATAAACACCGAACAACAGAAATACAAAAGATGGATAAAAGAAGCTATCGAGATAAGGAGACGTGGATGCGGGACCATGAACAGAGACGATGGAGTTTACTCATTGGATCGCGCATGGGACTGCATCATCGGAGACGGGAGAGCGGGCCACAGAGGGCGACAACATCCTCTGCTGCCCGCGGATAAATGGAGTAGGAAGTGACGCCACCATCAGTGTCAGCTCGGAGGATGTTTTGCAGTCGGCAAACGAAACTTACGTTAGCAGGGTAAAGAGAAACCTTTCCTGTGTTTTAAAAAGAACCAAAAATGGAACAACAAGCTCATTCTTACGAGTGACTTAAATGTGAGGTCACTATGGAAACACGCTCTGTTTAATGTAACAGTAACATGTCAGAATGCTTTACCTCCTTGTGAGAGGACAGGAGAGCCTTTTCAGCCAGAGCATCATCTATTGTTTCAAAGAAGCTCCTCTCCACCACATCAAAGGCCTGCAACAAGCCAGCGCGCGAGCACATAAACTCCATCACTTAGTGGTTTAGAAAGGTGTCGAACAAGCATCAAGACACAAGTCAGAAAAATGAGAAAACACATTTTTAAAGTCTTAACGGCAGAAATTTGAATCTTACTAAATATTTTTCAAGATTTGCAAACATCTTGCACCCTGATTGGCTAGCAACACGACTCTTCTGCTGCCTCCGTTCGCTCTTCTTTCTTGGGTATAAAATGCATTGTTGATGTTTATTCCCCACAAATAACAAAAGCCTGAACCTGTTCCGCTATGTTGTGGAGTTGATAATGTTTACTGTTAGCCTCTACTGAGACGTGCTCTGCTCTCTGCTGGATGCTAAATCAACACAAGCTTCTGCGGTTGCAGGTAACATTGTAGGTGTTGGACTCGTGGGGACCGGGCTTTCTCAGTCCTAGCTCCATCACTCTGGAACCAGTTGCCACCCTGGCTGTCCCCATCTCAGCTGATTTTTAAGAGTCGCCTGAAAACCCACTTACTTCTTCCACTCTGCGTTCCCTGAACATGTTTGAGGTCGGCCCTCTTTTATGTTGATTTTATTTCCTGTTTATATTGGTCACTTTATTCCTTGTTTTATCTACTTGTTTTCTACTCTAATGTTTAATCCCCTTTGCACGATTTTATTTGCTTTTATTATCTACTTATTCATTGTGATTTGCATTTCTCATGTATTGTGTTCAGCACCTTGGGCTCTCTGACAGGGTTGCGGAAGACGCTTTATAAATAAAGCTTTGATTGATTGGTTGAAGCGAGGCAGGTGAGTCCATGATTGCACATGAAACAGTGTGACATGAAGGTGTGTGGCTTTCTCTGACCTGAGTGTTTCCCCGTCTGTTTTCTTTTGGCGGCTTACGCCGGGGACACACCGGCCGCCGAAGCGCCGCGAAAAGGGGGCCGCCTTCATTCGGCGCCCTTGTTATCCTATTCTATGGACCACATGGGCCGCCGAAGCGCTGCGCGCCGGCGCTCCAGCCCGCGTCGTGCAGCGATCGTTTCGGCGTCTGCTCTATTTTTTTTTTCGCGAGCCGCGAGTGGACCGCGTCAATTCTGGCAGGAAAACAAACCTAGACGTAAGAGGCAGGCCGGTAAATTTAACAAAATAAAGCATTTCAAAATAAAATTCCGCGATATTCAAATGTGTTCGTAAACAGACACTGCATAAAAACCACATGAACACGAACACACACACACACACACACACACACACACACACACACACACACACACACACACACACACACACACACAGCGAACTTGCGTGTGTGTGACCACGTGAAGGGGGTGTGGTTTTGGGTGTCTTTCAACCGGAGCATAGGGCTGTCGCGGTAACCGCAAAAATGAAATATCGCGATATGAAGAAGCCCACCGCGCTGCATCATGCGCCACCGCGATTACTGAACTTGGTTCAACTCAATGATGCATGTTGAGAAGGATGGCTGCACTGGTATCAAAACGAAACGTTACTTCGCTCCTGTGGGAGCGCTTTGGTTTTCAGTACGTCAGCTGCTGCGCAGCCAGAGTCCTTGGCCAAGACAGAGCTGCCACCAGCGGCAAATAAATAAATAAACAAACGCTCGGAGACCTGCTGAAGTCCCGGACAAGCACTGCTTCTGCAGCCGTCCCAAAGAGAGTTTGAGCCGAGCTGGAGCTCACTCGCTACCTGCAGGAGGAATGCATCCACCCTAAAGAAAACCCCCGTGACACGGTGGAGCAACAAACGGGAGATTCCCTTTGCTCGCCAGAGTCGCACGCAAGTACGTGTGTGTTAGTGCAACGAGCGCACCATCCGAGAGGGTTTTCAGTGTAGCTGCAAATGTTGCCACCCCTCTCAGATCCTCTCTCAAACCGTAGTTAACATGCTGGTTTTCCTTGTAGGTAACAAGGACGTGACCGAGCTATAAATCACCGTCATTCGTGTGTGTGAAAGTGAAATGATAGTGCGCCCGCCCCCCGGCGCGCGCGCGCGCGCCCGGTACATGTAATTTTTTATGCTTGATTTTAAACAACTAAACAAAATGGGGACTTGTTTCTTATTTGTTAGATGCTGCAGCCAAATTTGCATTTAAAAGTTTAACCTCCTGAATTTTGTTGTTTTTAAGTTCAGTCGGACTCCGACTGTCAGAGAAACAAGCGTTACTGCGATCTGCGTTGTTACTGCCCTTTGATCTGCATTCAGTAAAGTGTTATTAAAGAAGGCACGGCAATTTTTAACCTTTTTTAAATGTGTAAACATTATGTTTAGATAGTACTGCAATAAAAAAGTGCTGCAATAATATCGCACACCGCAATATTAAGCCACCCTGAATCACCGCAGGGGGAATTCCTCAACCGCGACAGCCCTACCGGAGCAAACAGAACAGAGAGGCAGAAAGTTCTAGGCCAGCTATTAACAACTGGTTCACACACACACACACACACACACGTACAAACACACACACAAACAGCAAGGGGAAGGGGGGTAGAGGGAAAGAGCAGAGAAAAGGCAGAGGGGAAAATGGAGGACACCAAGTGGTTAAAAGAAAAACTACGAGGCGCGTCTCGACCGGAGCGCAGAAGCAAGCGTCTGGTCTGAACTGAGGAGCAGCGGCCGAATTTCGTGAGCGCTTCGCCTCCCTGCGCTTCGGCGGCCGGCGTGTCCCCGGCATTAAACGTTTTTCAGTGAACCTCCTCTTTAACAAAATCCCACAGATTATGGCAGCTCAAATCACAAACATAATTCCTGCAGATATCTGTTAAGGTAACAGGTGCTAGACTGATTTCTCCCTGGAATTAACATTTTGTCTCACTTTAAATGAGCATTTTAAAATGTTTATGTTACCCCAAACAAATCAGTATTTTTAGTATTTCCTATTTGTTTAAACAAACATTGTAACCTCATTTGCAAGGTGCAAAAACTCGAGTTTTCCAATGACTTCACTGCACCTATAACATGAGCATTGTTTTGTTTTGGTCTTTACTTACATAGATCTAAAGACGTTTTTCTTAGTCACACATTCATATGATACTTTGCACTACATCTTTCCTAGCCTATATATGCTGCATTGTAGAGGCTGACCAACGTGGTTTTTTAAGGCTGATGCCAATACAGATTTTTAAAGAATTTTGTTGCCGATGGCTGATACCTAAAGCTGATTATTTAGGCCGATAGATATGCGTGTTAACAGAACATTGATTGATTAGACAACTTAACACTCACTGTGTGCAATATGAATTAAATAAGTCAATAAATCTCTTACTATTTATTGAACTTAAAATATAAAACAAACTCAAAACGTAAAAAATCGGTGTGTTGGCGTCCTTTCTTCAGTCTAGTAGTGGTGGCAGTTGGCCATACAGGTGCCTGATTTATTTATTTATTTGTTTATCGGCTTTTAAAAACAATTTCAGCCGATGGCCGATATAGAAAAATTTAATATATCGGTCAGCCTCTGCTGCATCATTTTTTTTTCTCACCTATACATCAATGGGTATACAAAGGTCTTACCCAAAGACCAAGTTTTAATATTAACATTTAAAGATCAAGCTGATGTTTCTGAATTAATCTGTAAAAATATAAAGAAAGATGAATAGTTTGTTTTTCTTTTTTTTAAAGAGGATGTGATTAAACCAAATTACAAACAAAAGTATTCTTGAAATTCTTAGAATTGTTTGAGATGAGCATTGAACAGGAGAGAAACAGACCTGCGTAAGGATTCTATGGACGTCTTTGTCTGTGTGACTGGAGTTCAGTTGTCCAAGAAGAAGCTCAGCCGTCAGACGCTGGGCAGCAAAGTTGGCCACTCTGCTGCCATCATAACCATTAAAAACCCCATAAAGGAAACAGCCATCCTCGCCTCTGGTTGGTTGACAAACAACAAGAGAAAAAAAAAATAAAAATAAAAGAGAAACACTATTTGTGTTGTTTTACAAGAGAACAGAAAGTGCAGATGGTGGTAGACTACTGAGCACTCTTCTATGACTAAGAAGTAAATAGATTTTTTTTCTTTTTAAAGGGACTTTACGGAGTTTTGAACTTTTATGCTCGCGATTGCCTCCTCAGGCCAAATGCGTAACGGCAGCTTCAATAGTAGGCTCGTGCACGGGGCGCACAGGCTGTACGTGCACACTCCTTAACGAAAATAACAGCTGAGACAGTCCCTTGTGTGTGTGTGTGTGTGTGTGTGGCCCGGAGGACAGAGGACAGGAGAACACGCAGCTAATTAATTAAATAATTTGGTTCTGTACCTTTCTCTTCAGCACAGCCGACAAAGGGTTAAGATGGGTCAGTCCTCCTGCATGCTCAGATCATTCCCTTCCCTTGCTTGAAAAATTGTTCCAAAATGAAAGTTGAACCCACATCTTTTTTATCTGTGAATTCAATGCCGTTCGGCGAGTCTCAAATAAAAATTTGGGCATCTTACTGTAAAAAAATATACCATTAATGTAAAAAAGAAACTCTAAAACAACTATGTTCACATCCAGAATCGAACCCAGGTCTTCTGCACATAAGTCCAACATCTTTCTAGGCGAGCTAAAGCACCAGTGACATCCTTTGTATCTGTAACATTTACATCCTTGATGACAGCTGAAACAACATTCATAGAACGGTTCGGAGGGCTATGCCTGAGCGTGAACGCGCATGAAGCAGCCTGCTCGACCCGAACATCTCTCTTTTTCTGTTACAGAAAAACAGGCGATCACAGTAAAAACGCCAGGGCTCATTCTACAGGACCAGGGCATTGCAGGAGAATGTATGAAGAAGAAATTTAATATTTCTATACATGTGTTGGCTGTCAAACTTCCATAATGCCCCTTTAAAACTGTTTTGAACTGTAATGGGTATTATTAGGAGTCTTTGTGTAAGCTTAGACAGTAGACACTTAGTATTTGGTAACAAATGCAGCATAACTTGTATTAGTTGTAGGGTTGTCACGGTAACCGGTGTAGCGGTAAACCCCGGTAAAAAAGTTGACAATAATAATAACTGTCTTGTTTTTACAAAAACTATATTATCTCAGTGGGTTTACCGTGGCTGCGTTGTAGGCGCGGTGACCCTTACCAGCCACCGTATCATCTGCTGAAGTTGCCGGCGGCACATGCGCGCTTTGTTGTTTACAACCAAAACTTTCTTGAAGCTAAAGCTGAAATAATGGCCAAAGGATGAGACGGCAGCACTCAGGAGGACATTTTTTATCCCTCAAAGAAGACAAAGTGGGAAGTACAGGCATTTTTTGGATATTTGAAGAATGCCGAGGGACAGTTGATAGAAGACGGCTATCCTGTTTGCAGCACGTGCAGAAAAAGTGTCTGTGAAAGGCAGCAACGCTTCAAATCTCATGACACATCTGCATGACGATCACCCACAACTCTACAGTCAACGCAAGGCAAGCTAACGTTAGCGTTTTGACTAAAATGCGTGATCTGAGGATTTGGGTTGAGGGAGAATGCAACGAGTCGCTATATAAAGCAGCTGCAGCGCCGCTACCTGCATATAAACCGTGTCGCGGACACCCCCATATTGAAATGACGCTATGCATTACGGGGCTCCCAGGGGCAGATAAGAGTTGGTCTCTCTCCGAGAATAATTATGAATTTAACAAAGATTACTGCCTGATGACATTTTCCCAAATCTGCAAAGCTCACTGGAAGGACACAAACCGAGGACAATATTTTCCTGAAATAGGGGTTATTACTCAAGTAAGGGTAAAAAAGTATCTGATTAGAAGGCTACTTGAGTACTGAGTATCATCTGATCTAATATTTTTAAAATGATGACATCAAACAGACAAAAATAAGAAGTTATGGGCAAATATTGGTATTTTAAAGACTAAAGGGAAAAAATGTAAACAAATAAACAACATAATTACAAACTAACACATTTTAGGCAAAATTTAGAAACAAACTGAGGACAATATTTCCTGACATACAGGGTTTATTTTATTGTGTGAAAATGTAACACATTTAAAAAAAATACCGCGATAATACCGAAAACTGTGATAATTTTGGTCACAATAACCGTGAGATAAAATTTTCACACCGTGACAACCCTAATTAGTAGTAGGATAAATACTTATAAATTTTCCATTTTATATATGATAGGCATAAAAAACAAATTTATCCAGCACCTGACTTTTTTTTTGTCTTTTGTTTACCTGAATCTGAGGTGCCCATCCTCCATAGGGTGGGCCTGGGACCCTTTACTATCCGGGCTGTACACGCAGTTGGGGGCGGTACCGACCCCACACATCTGACATGAGGGCAGATCATCTGTCCAGCTTTGATGCTGCTCAAGGCAAAGTACATGAAGATGGGTCAAAACTCCCTCTAATAAATCATACAGCTGCCTGTATCTGAAACTCTTCGCAAGTTAGCTTGTGGTATAGTGCAACTGAGTAGATCTTTACGTTCCTACTCAGATCTGTGGCTTGCGCTTACTTTTGCACATTCACTCTCCTAAACAATTCTAACGATATTACACCAAAACGGTGACTTTTCTCCTGCTTGCACCCACATGGTTTGATCTTTGAATTCAGATGATTTCTTCAGCGTTTAGTTAACAGTAAACCACTTTATGTTCATTTATTACTTAGCTAACTGTTAGCAAAACACACAGTAACACGCAACTGGCATTGCAGAATAATCAAAATGGACACTGCACGGAAGAAAAGCAACAACACTGAAGACTAACACATACTACCGGAAGTAAACAAACCATTTGTAACAACAAAATTGTCTCGCAAAGGCAATAATAAACAGTTCATACATACGCTTTGCATCAACATTCTGCGCTGCGCGGCCATGTTGGATGACACGTGTTGCGTTCACGATCATCGTTCAGTGTCCGAAATATTAGCTTTAAAAACTACTCATGACAATTTCATTAATTTTGAATCAAAACGATACAAAATGAAAATAAGAATAAAAAATATGCTTAAATGACACAGTCAATATTTGTTAAATTTGCACTGGTTGTTGTCTTGATATATTTTTTAGTTAACGATAATTTAATAAATTCCGGATGCTTCTGAAAGCAGCAGGCTCCTGATGCTCATTCATCTTAAAAAAAGAGAAGAAATGTAAATTTAACGAACAAATGCCTTAACACATATAGATGATGTTCATTTTCACGCCATTAAAAAATAGTTTGTTGAAAATATCCAATAAATGCAGTTTCCTGTTTATGACTGCACCGAGTTGCTTTGAAAATACCACCACCCACTGGCTTTAGTTAAAACTACAATTTAAAGAACAAACTCCTGAATAAACAAATTAGTTTTGACCTATTTTATTTGGTTAATAAAGATAAAAAAAGAAAATATATTTATATATGTATAGTTTTGCATTTACAAAAAAAACTATCAGTCTTGCAGAGGGAGAACTCATATTCTTGCATCTTGACTGGATCAAAACACTATCAAATTAATCTTATTGTTCATCCTTTTAGACGTTTCTGCACTTAATTTGTAAAACACACAACAAAATTTTGCTTAGGCAACACTTATTGCACATTAATGATCCAAATTTCAGTTAATCTGTTAATCCTTACATTAAACTTCCTTAAGCAGAGTTACTCCATTTACCTATTTTAATTATATTCAGGAAGATAACAGTGATTTAAATAAATAAACACCAACTCTTTTGATCTTTTTCATTATGTTCTTTATTCTCATTGGTTAAAATCAAACACATCAAAAACACATTTTTTTTACCACATTCTTTTTCTTGAGTCTTACCTTGCTTTGCCAAACAGATACAGAGGAACATCACACATTTCTATGATTGCACCGATGAATTGCACAGATGTAAAGTATAAAGTACACACATGTATGTACTTAAGTTATTTGGTCACTGTTTTTGTTATATTTAATGTATTGTTATCCCAAAATAAAACTTCTATTTTTAAAGCAACATAAAAAAACGAGGCATGAATGACCTCACCTTATATCTGATCACAACACCTAAAAGACCATAGAATTTCTTTAATTTGTCTTTTCTTTACTGTTTTTTAATATAGAACTAGCATAATGCCGTAAAAGCAGATTGTTTTTCCGTCAAACACTGAAACAGAATGATATAGATTTACATATATTTGTAGAGAGGTTTTGTTCAGGAAAATCGAGTAATGCACGTTTCCAGCTACTTTAGATGCTTATGGTCACCACACACACACACACACCTTTGTATGAATACATCCTTGCCATATAAGCTCTCTGGTCTGATTTCGTGTAAAACACCAGTAGGTTTAGTCAGAAGAAGCTGAAATCTGCTGACAATACTGTGAATTCAATTCCTGCTCAGTGTTTTGTGAGTGGAACAACCAGCACTGATTCTACTGACTTGACATCAGTCGTTCAAAACTGTGTGGTCACAGGTACTGATCTGGTATAGGGTAATCATGTCCCCAAACCTCTTAGTCTACCATACAGCTCCCTTAACTCACCAACACCTTCAATCAAAAGCATAGTCTTTGTATCCTATATTTTCCTGCAGATATTCCAAACTAATTCACAAAAAAACCCAGTAGAAATTTGAAATAATTCCCAAATGGATATAGTGTGATGTGCAAGATTTCAGGCTTAAGAGGTTTGTAGTTTTAATACTTGGTACAGAGGTGAGAGATAACTAGCCTCTCCTGAAATATGAAAATACTCTGATTTGGGAATTTAGCAAACTTTAAATAAATGACACCATTGAGTTAGATTATAAAGAAAGTGTTTCTTCAATACTGTTTTATTTTTTATCTTAAACATCTTTGGCAGCATTTCCAGCCTGGCAGACCTTCATCATCCTAGCAGGCAGTTTTTCAAGGTATGATGAAATTTCACCCCATGTTTCCTGAAGCATCTCCAAAAAGATGTATTAGTGTGACGGATCAGAATCTTTCTTGGTGCCTTTGGTCAAGCCTTTCTCACCCATACCATCCATCCATCATCATCCACTTATCCAGGGTCAGGTCGCGAGAACAGCAGCCTAAGTAGAGAGACCCAGACTTCCCTCTCCCCAGCCACTTGGGTCAGTTCCTCCGAAGGAATCTCAAGGCGTTCCCTGGCCAGCTGAGAGACATAGTCCCTCCAACGTGTCCTGGGTCTTCCCTTGGGTCTCCTCCCAGTTGGACATGCCCGGTATCCTAACCATATGCCCGTGCTATCTCAACTGGCTCCTCTCAAAGTGGAGAAGCAGCGGATCTACTCGGAGCCACTCCTGGATGACCGAGCTTCTCATCCTCTCTCTAAGGGAGGCCAGACACCCTGCGGATAAAACTCATTTCAGTCGCTTGTATCTGTGATCGCATTCTTTTGGTCCCAAAGCTCATGACCATAGATGAGGGTGGGAATGTAGATCGACCGGTAAATCGAGAGCTTCCAGAGCAAAGTGTTCCAACAACATCTCAATGAGGTTCAAATCTAGAGACTATACCAACCACTCAGAAACAGTTGGAATTCTGTTTGACTGATTGTTCTTTAAATACTGCTGATTTTGCTGGTTGTCCTGCGATGGACTGGCAACCTTTCTAGGGTGTACCCCGCCTGCTTGCCCAGAGATTGCTGGAGATAGGCACCAGCCCCCCGGCGACCCTGAGTGGATAATCCGATTTGACAATGGATGAATTATTTTGCTGGTGTGTTTTGGGTCATTATCCTGATTTAAGATTAAATTGACCTGATCAAATGAGTTCTGAAATTTCCTCGCATTCGACACCCTTCCCCAATACTTCCCCAAAGGTTGACACATCTCCGAAGAAAATCCTTTCTTTCCAGTTGTTTTGAGCTTTCAAACAAACATGCAACAGCTGATTTGAAACTCGGCAACATTTTAATAAAAAGCTTTCAGCCAGATCTATCACTGTAATGGAGAAGCCACAATCGTTTCCAGAGATGTTCCAGGAAGCACGAGGGGAATCAAATTTACCCTTTAAAATGATAAGAATGCCTAAATGTTTGCCAAGCAGCAATTGCTGTCAAAGGTGTTTTTTAATGAATACTGGGGTTGAATAAAACTATAAAAACCTTAAATTAGGGCTTGTCAGTGCATATTCTGTTCATTTGCAACATTTTCTATTCAAAGTCCATGTGTTTCCATGGAAACTGTGAAAATTACCATGTGACCCCATGCATCTGAGTGGTAGTGTATGTGATGTGTTGATGCAAGCCCTGATAATCTACCATGACTGTTTCTAAACAAAACAAGTGACTATTTGTTACCAATCGTGTTTAACATGTCTGTCATCGGACATGACTTTGAACTGTTGCATTTAACTCTGGGTGAAAGCAGAACTGGGTAAAGTTGGACCAGTATGAACTACAAACTGGGTGGGTTTTACTCTGACTTTCAGTGTGACAGAAACAATACAAATAGGGCCTCAATTTAGATTTGTTGGGCAACTTTAATCTCTACCGACGAATATCAGAAACTCAGTAGTCTTGACGCTGGTAGCCCCCGGTGCTGTCAAATGCTCCGTCGCTGTTGGCCTGGTTCCCTCCGCCACCCGGGCTATCCAAGTCATCGCCTCCAAAGGACGTGTAGGGCGCTCCGGCTGCATCCTGGTTGGGGTCAGTGTAGTCCTGCGAGAAGAGGGCCGAGTCGGCCCCCAGCTTGTATCTCTGGAAGGCGAAGAAGCTTTGGGCCGCCTTAGGGGAGGGATCATCAGTGGTGGAGACAGACGGAAGGGTGGCGAAAGTTGCACGGAAGGCAGTTGAAGGGCGTATAGATAGATGTTGAAGCAGTAATGTTAGTGCATTGGGTTTGGGAAAGAAGAAGAAACAAAGAGTGAGAAGAAAACATTGATTAGTAGGATAGAGAGCTTGCAAAGCTTATTAGTTGAATGAGTTGTTTAGTCAGTCACAGCGGGTTTCTTTTTAAAGACAGCAGCACAGAAAGTGATTTCCACATTTTTCCGTTCTGTAGTGAGACACAAAACCTTGTCTTTACTTTTGGCCACAATGGGAAAATCAAAAGACAATCAAGAAGTCTGTGTTTGTCACTAAACAGCTAAGGAGCTGCCATGTGAAACAGCGTGAGCCAATTGAATGTGTTACTACCCCTTAAAATAAATAGTTCTAAAGAAGCATCACCACAAACTGCATCTCTAAACCTTTCGAGCAACCTACTAATCTCAATAAAACAAACAGAAAAGTAAAGCCAGACGTAGGGTGCCAGCAAGAAACTTTTATTTTACATGCAAAACTTGAGACATTAAAGAACTAGCTAAACCGTTTCACCCTTTCAACTGTAGTTAGTCACGGATACTGAAAGCACTTTAAAGTCCTTTCATTCTGTTTGAAGTCGGTGCCTGAAGCCAGACAATTTAATTTTTCATAAGTATTAAAACCACTGAGATACAGCTGGCTTTGTCAGAGGGGAGCACAATACAGCAACAGCTCCTTAATTAACAAATTACATCTTATTCTGTATTCGAGCCTGAGGTCCTACAAATGAAAGATTTAGATGCCCCTAAAAAATGATAAATTGTGTTGTTTTAGAGGATAATAACTCCATAAACGTTTACCTGTTTGAAGGCAAAACTTTGAATGTAATTTTTTTTAATCAAAACATGAAAGCCAAATATGGACGACTGCCATTGGAGACAAAGTACACGTTAAAAATCTGAGAAAACGTCACCAATGTTGATCAATCTTGGTCGACTGGTCAATGAAGATTCTTTGGATTATGAAGGCACTGCTTTGGATTGGTTTGTTTGTTAATTGGTTTGTTATTTGACGTTGTATAGCTATGTGCATGGACTCTTACCAAAGGTTAGCGGCAAAATCCAGCATACCTTAGCAAGGAATCTAGACTGTTGATTGCTGAAGCAAAATTGCCTTCTAACAATGCTCCATTGGAACCTTGTGCCCTGGCCAGCATTGTGGTTGACCAATCACAGAGTGCTTATCTTTAAAAACAATGTATTTTTTAATATGTTTTAATTAGTTCCTCCACGATACAATGGCGGACTGCCCTGTTGACTGACATCTGTAGCAGTCCAATCACAGGGCTCTATTGGGTTGGTGGGCCAATTACAACACTGTTGGTGGGCGGGATGCTACAGCTTGAAACAGCTTTACTATTATGAATTTGGCTTGTCTTTGAGTCAACAGCAAATAAAGGTAACTAAGTTTATTCAGCAAAAGGATGTATTTGCATCTTCTTTGACGAATGATGGTGGACTGCCTCATCGACCAACATCCATAGCGATGAGTAGATCACAGCATTTGTTATCCAACAGCATGCAGAGACAGCTTGAATGACAACCATAGATCCTGCACCATGACTGAGAGCCTTTAATGGACCGTGGCCTGACTATATATTCATACATATAGAATAACTTGCCAGGATAAGCACGCCTGGTTTGAAGTCAAAAGGCTAAAATCCAAAACAATGATACGAAAGGTACTATATGATTTCTTAGCCTAATTTAAAGCCAAACAGAAAATTTTACAGAAGTCTTAGGCTCACCTTTAAATCGTTCACCTGTTTTTGAGATCTCACAAATAACAGAGGGCAGGTATGGAGGCGCAAAAGTGACACATTACTATAAATAAATGCAGTCCTGCCTAATTTTAAAACTATGTAATTAATTACCTAAAATTTAAAATAAATAGGCAAATAACATTATAAATATATAATTTACTAAATGTGTCATTGTCTAAAATCATTTATAGTTATTTCATGATTTATTAAAGTATTTTCTGGTCTGTGTTGGTGTACATCATGAATCTGTCAACCTTCCCCATCACCTCCCCGTCAGTGGGAGGGGCTAATGCTGGTAATGGCGACCGCTCTGGTATGAATGGAACCTTTTCAAACATGCCAGCTCCCTTTATGGAGATTCCTAAGGAGTCAGTGAGAGATATTTTCAACCTAGCTGACGAAATATAATCACGAGTTGCTGACCCTGGATCTGTGGTTAAACAAAGAAATGTGTTGATGAATTATTGATGCTCTCCAGTAATCCTCAATGATGTAAGCTGCCATATTTGAAAACATTTAATTTAGATCAGAACAAATGTTGTTATTAATGTTAGTCCCTCGAACTGTGGTGGACAACGTTGAGAGGTAAAATAAATTTATGATTTACAGCAAAAATAACCATTAATTAGTCCCATAAATAATGCAAAAATTATCACATATATTATTTATGACACATTTAATAAATAAAACATTCTATACATTATTTGTGTATTTATTTCAGATTTTAATTTACCAAAACATTATATATATATATATATATATATATATATATATATATATATATATATATATATATATATATATATATATAATGTCATACCTATTTATTGTTTAGTGGAATTTTTGGCCCTCTGTAGGCAGGAAGATTTATATCAGCCAGGTTTATAATCAGAAATGGAAATGGTACAATGCTTCTTTGTGTTACCAGGTGGCCTTAAACCAGCTTAACCAGTACCAGGGATGCATGTGACCAGCTGCAGAAGTATTTAAAGAGGTGAGGTAAGAAGCCAGAACAGAGTCAAACAAAAGGCTGATGAGGCTGAGGGGGGAACAACTTGCTGTATTCTTCTTCAAATGATATATTCTTTAATCTCCCCATAGAAAAGAGAGTCTGAGCACCCTGTTGGAAAAACAGCCACATTCTCATGAGTTCAAGTGTCCACAAATGCTAAGGAACATCATTTATATCAAGGCTTTTGGCTTTGCTCAAGACAAGAACAACAGGAAAAGGGACCTTGCAGAGGCCACGCCACATAGTGATGCTTTTCTATGTTAAAAAGTTGTAAATGGTCCTTACCCAGGTGAAGATAGAGAAGAAGGAGAAGGTGATGGCTGCACGGGCAGCATCTCCTCCCTCCCTCAGGGGGTTGTCCTCTTGTTTGGTCACCTGCCACTGGTTGGCCAAAAAGCAGAAACCCACAAACCACATGAAGGACCAAAACGCTGGGTGGAAAAACAACAACGATAATCAGGATTAAAACAAGGAATGAAACCCAACAAAATGCAACTTTATTTATTTTTTATAGCTCAATCTCTCAAAATACAAAAGAAAAATAAACGCATTAATAATGTTTCACTGGGGCGCATATCACAAGAAAGTGATGGTAAATGGTTTAATCAGTAAAAAAAATAACATTATAGCAAGGCTGGTGCACCATTTTCAGGAACTAGAAGACAGTAGCGTCAGAGTTGAGCTTCAGAAATGCAGGATTTTGAGTCTTATTTCCTGATATGTGGTCATCTTGCCTCTGATTGGCTAAAAGGAGCACAACACTACTACCGACTCTGTTTGCTTTGCAACGTTGATGTTTTGTCTCCATAAACATCACAAGCCTGAAGGAGTTCAGCCGTGTAGTGGAGTTGCTAATGCTAACAGTTAGCTTCTACTACCCGAGGCACTCTCTACGGTTTCCTGGACGATAAACAAACAGCAGCCTTCCCAGTCGCAAGCCAAGATGGGTGAGTCCATGAATGTTAAGTGACAGTGTGACGTAGATCTGTCTGGATTTTCAAATCCTAGTGTTTTACCATCTATTTTCTTTTAAAAACTTACACAGGAGATAGGTGTTGGAGACTATTTTCATGTTCAGCCTGCATGAAAACCTCAGAGTGACCGATTATAACCAGAAATAAAATTTAAAGGTTCCATATTTTAAACCTTTGAGCACAAAGGTAGTCACAATATATGATAAAAAATTACTGTTGGCACTATTGAGATGTCATTTATCTTAAATGCAAGTTATTTTCATCAGCCTGAATTTGTACCCAGAAATAAAACGGTTTGTTTTAGTGAAGCTCCGCCCACTCCTGCTCCGACAAAACGCACCTACAATAGCATCTTAGGTGAGCCTGCTGTGTTGGTCTTGGTAGTGCAGCAGTAAAAGTGCCTGCCTTGGCACTCAAACCACTGGACTACCAAGTCTGTTACAAAACAATAGTCATCTAACACACATATCCTGTGCCGGCCATTACGTGGATCATTGTAGAGAGAACGCATGGTTTATACAGCAGTGTTTTGTCCCCAATGAAGAAATAATTTGTCAGAATATCCAGGTTTCAGAACTGAGACCAGACCAGATTCAGGGGGAGGAGAAATGCCTGATGACGTAAGTGGGCTACTTTCTCCTGAATGCAGAAAAAATCTTTACATCACCAAAAATGAAGCTGAGGCAGAAAAATGCATGAATGCATCCAAAACGGGTTTGGGGTTCTCATGAGAGAATGACAATATAACATGGTAAAAAGCTAAAAAAAAAAAAAAGTGGATTTTCCATAATATGGCTCCTCTAAAAATATTTCTGTGTTCCACACCTTTAAATAACCCAGGCAGTGACAAGACTAAAATGTTCCAGTTAAGTCTGGGCACATTAACAAGAAGTCTGGAGAATCGCTAGAAAAAGACAAATTAACAAAATCAGCTAGTAACAAAACCCCAGAGGTGGACCCTCATTGAGCAACACCTGTAAAACAACATCAATTAGTGAAATTACCACAGCATCAGATGTGGTACTTTCCTCCAACATCCCGGTCTGATCAGCCACCAGCTGTCCCCTTGTTCCACTAAACTACTCTGAGTGCATATGGTGAGAAAAAAGGGCGTGTGTGTGCATGATGAAAACAGGGAAAGAGAATCTTGTCTATGACAGAGACGATCTCATTAAAATAGTCTGTGCTCGACTACCATTTTGTTATGTTCCCTGCAGGAGAAGTGCAGTGAAGAAGAGAAAGCCGCTGTCAGACAGACCAAAGCACATCTTGTTAGTGCGAGAAGGGTACCTGTCTTCCTATCATCTCTTTCACACCTCATCTTACTTTCCTGTGATGACAGTTTAACTACAAATCTCTTTTCTGAGCAAGATAAAAAAAAGCTGTTCTTTAAGAGCGGAGTGTTGAGTTCAAATCTGTATATAGAAGAGAAAATCAACAAAAACCAAGAGTGTTCCTGAAAAAAGCTTATGAATAATTAATAAGTGAGCAAAGAGCTCTCTGAACAACCTTCAGTGGAAGGAACATGACTAGATTGACAAGCTAAAGGCCAGTCCAAGTAGGGCCAGTTGCAGTTGATTGTTGTCACCTTAAAATGACAAATTTGATTTAAAAATATTTGACATCACACCTATTGTTCATTGTCCATTCAAATAGGATTGTGTAGTTTATTTATTTATTTTTTGGTGACAGAATTTAGCTGTAGAACTACTACTGTAGTACTTCTAGTTGGATTGTAATAATTCTGCTAGAAAAACAATAAAAATGTGAATTTTATGTCAAAATAATAGCATTCACATACAATTTCATGAAACTTTAGTGATCAAAATTATTTTAAGACATTATTTGTTTATGACCAGTTGTTTGCTCAACCGATGTATCACAACATCCCTGTTTTTCCAAACTGAATCCATTCAAAGAGCCATCTACAGCAGGTATATTAAATTTTCATAACCTTTCCTTAGAACTCCACTTCAAAAGATGCGAACAATCACTTTATTCCATCTATCTATCAATCCACTGACAAGGCACAGAGTATTTTTTAATGGATACCTCTGTGTGACACAGCTCCAGCCTTGTTGGTCGTGTTATTGCATCCCATACAGCCGTGGAAGTCAGATTTGACCACGTGCTTTCATTTTAGGAACAAAAACTGATCTTATCAATATGTAGCATGTAGCTAATCATTTGCTTTTTGGGATTATCACAGTACCATGGCCTTTTCTCAATATGCATACTTGTCTGAACTACTACTGAGTACTTGTGTACTCACATCCTTGTGAAATGTCACCAACAATGGCCCAAGTACTGTTCCAATCCTAAGTACACGTCAAGGAAAGTTCAGTCAAAGTTCCTGGACAAACTAGACTTTACTTTTATGTCAGGTAGTTTTATGAGCCACTTGTTGGTATGGCGCAACGTAGTAATGTTTTGTTCCAAAAGCCCTCCTTGTCCTCCCATAATTGGCAGAACAGACTTTCTACTGTACTTTCCAAGACCATACTTGTCAAGTACACAAGAACGTACCAGTGTCCTTAGGTACTGAGAAACGCTCATGTTCAACTAAACCTCAGCATTGTTTCATAAAATGGTTCAGCCCTAAGAGGTATTAACATGATACAGTTTTCTTTATTGTAGCATTTTGACGATAATTCCTCAATGTCAGTGTTACAAGGGAATCTTTATGAATGAGAGTGGCTATACCTGACACCCCAACATCAGCCAGGACTGCCTTTTTGCGGTCTTTGACGCTGCTGATCTGAGGGAAGTAGACATCAAGAGCTAGAAACGCAACACAGCAGAGAAAGGCCATCGAGCCCATGAAGACACCGTAATTACAAGCATTCTGGTTCCGGTTGAAGATGCAGAACTCCTCCACTTCGTTGGGACGGTTGATGTAGCCTTCGTTGGCAATGCAGCCAAAGATCACTATGGAGAAAAGCTGGAATACAAAAATAGAAGAACAGAGGACAAAAAAAAGATGAGCTGCAGAAATAAAAGTGAAGTCTGCCAGAGATTCAGGTATCAACAAGACCCTCAAAGAAGAAAGGTGTGCTCACAGTTTTGTACTGATAAAACTACTGTAATGTCCACAAGTGGTCAGTTTTCACCTACAGATTGACCGGTCATCGGTCATCTACAGACCTAAAGGTTGGTTTATGCTTGACGCGTCCGCGAGGTCCGCACGGCTCCGTGCGGCGAAATTGCGTCATTTTAACCCCTCCACCGCGATTGCAGGGCAGGATTTGGAAGAAGACTTTTGGACTAAGTACGTTATTGGAGAACATTAACTGGACGTTAGGATTGTTTTGAGATGGTGACTCTGTGGTGCGCAGGCGCAGCTAAGAACAGTGAGTTGCAAGTATTGGTTCAGTAAAATTGGTTACTTTGTCTTAAGTTTTGATTGCATCTTTAATTGGCATACATAATCGGAATAAAACAATGAAGAATCTTAGCTTTTCAGTTAGTTATGTAGAACAAGTTGGTGATCCAAAACAACGGATTTGACCCGGAAGTATATGTATGTAACGTTCACCAGACAGATTATAAACATGCAAAGGGGTTGAAAAAAAAACACGGTTTATTACTGGGCCCCCCCAGAAAAACCCATTGCCCCTCCAGGTGAAGTCCTCTGGCACCGGGTCTGGGTCTGACGCGGAGGGTGGCTGACCAAGCATTTGTTTTTGACGTGCTGGGAGTGAGAATGTGTTGCTCAGACAGAGTCATGGCTGTTTAAATAATGTTCTGGATGGATCCGTGCTCTGCTGACATACTTGAAGCAGGTGCCGAATAACGACGAGTGATACTTTAGCCAAAGTTTTACATCAGGAAACATTTCTCCAAATGAAATAACCAGAAGTCTTCCAGACTCTGAAAGATAGAAAGGTTTCCGTTTTCCATTCAACGCCGCGCTGTAGTGCACGATGTCGAGTGCGTCACAGACGCTCTCCAAATGCCTCCTCAGCACGCCGCTTGCGCACGCACTGTCAGCAGCCAGAGGCGGAAGAGGTGAGAAAAGGCTCAGATGCGCTGATGGAGATCTTTTCTTGATTGTTACCTGTGCGTAAGGTGTGAAATATTCGTCGACAACAAACAAATAAAAATAAACAAATTGCCTCCTTTAAAAAAACAACCGTAACAGCTCAGCCCATCACCGATGGTTGATTCATTCATCCCATCGCCCAACGGCTAATATCTATATCTATATCTATATCTATCTATCTATCTATATATATATATATATATATATATATGTATATATATATATATGTATATATATATATATATATATATATATATATATATATATATATATATACATATATAAATATATATATATAAAACATCCATCCATCCATCCATCCATCCATCCATCCATCCATCCATCCATCCATCCATCCATCCATCCATCCATCCATCCATCCATCCATCCATCCATCCATCCATCCATCCATCCATCCATCCATCCATCCATCCATCCATCCAATCCATCCATCCATCCATCCATCCATCCATCCATCCATCCATCCATCTATCTATCTATCTATCTATCTATCTATCTATCTATCTATCTATCTATCTATCTAGATAGATAGATATATAGATATATAGATATATATATAGATATATCGCTGGAGTTATATCAGCTCTGTCTGGAAGTTAGTTGGAAAACTTTCTCTTTCAGTCGTGAACACATTACTGAGCGGTTAAAATCTCCGTTTCTGGGCTTCAACGTCGGCAAATAGCTGAGTAAACTCGGCGCTGAGTGAGAGGAGTGTTTAGTTTGTCCGAGACAGCAGAGCTGCAGACACCGGCAGCAGACGCTGGAAAAAAAAACCCAAAGGAGAGGGCAATTTGGCTCCGCGCTAACGCTGCAAAGCATCATGGAAGTTGTAGTCTTTGCGGTAAAATCGGCCAGCCGTTCAATTTTAATATATTTTTGATATTTATCTCGCGGGCCACATAAAAAGGCCTTGGTCTGACACATGTGATCTACAACTATATTTCCCCAGAGAAAGGCTGTTCAGAAGGACATCTATAGGGGTACGACTGTAATTTTATATACCATGTACACAGAAACACAAATCAAAATAACCCCAAATGCCATTTTAAAGTGAAACACTTTTGCTAAAATGTTTTTGGCCTCAACCCCATAACATTTTTCTTTTGGTGGTGCTTCAGTACAAACCAAGGCACTAACATGCTGTCTAACTTTGACAGGTTCATAGCTTTTACATTTATGTAAACCACTTACTCTTCTTTGTTTGATAACTTAAAAAAAGCTTTTTAATCAAAATATGTGCCCAAAAAAATAAAATAAATAGGAAGCTAAGAGTATGGAATTATTGTTAATGAATTTTTAATTAAGTAGTTGTTTCATATCTTTGCTCAACATTTTTGTATCACTAAACATTTTGTTCCTTTAATCTCTCCATTTACTTTTTATCAAAAAGACAAATTTAATTTGGTTGTCATTAATCCCCATCCTCAACTGCATTTCTTTACTTAAATTGCATCATTAATTATTATTATTTTTTTTACTTCAGAACTGAAAACAAAACAGGCGCCAAAATGGAGAGCGTTAAAAGTGCATCATATTACTATGATACCATCTAATCCTTCTCTCCACACCTCTGTGACACAGCATTGCAGAAACGCCATTCTCAAAGCTGTAAATACAAGACCACACATACACAAAGTGACAATGCCCAGCAGCCAATTTTGTGCTTGTGATGATAAAAGTGAATAAGACGAATCAAACCAGCTGACAAATCCTCAGGCCAAACCTCTAGGGAGCCATTTCTGTCTGATGATGGAGGCTAGGCGAGTTTATGTCTGTCAGCAGCCTGTGTGCAGTCTCTGCTGGGGTGAGTGATGGCTTCTGAGTGTGTGTGTGAAAAATGCAGACAGAAGATAGGAGTGAACATCGGGTTGGATGATGGTTTACTCAGCTGTTGTGTCTGCTGTTTGTGCTCTAAATGACAGCGATAAAAGGAGGAAACACTACAGTCTACTTCTAATGTCGGGGCTGATCATAAAGAGCCAGCAGACAGGTTTGGAAGTAGGGGGAGGAAAAGGGGGAGTTGTATTAAGTTTGTTTTTAACCCCGGTTTGCAAGCTCTTTGGTCTCTTTTCTCTGGGTTGTTTACACAATTTCAACACTGATCCTACCTGACAGAAGTGATGTTATTTTATAGCCCAATGGTGTGGCCTTCTAACCTGGCAGAATAGATAATCGGACCTATGGACAGCTCTCCGTCATGGGGCGGAATCTACGGTTGTCTTTCAACCTGCCTCTGCATGCTATTGGACAACAAACAATGTGACGTATTCACCGCTACGGATGTCGGTCAACGGGGCAGTCTGCCATACACTGTTGAAGATGACGCAAATACATCATTTTTCTAAATAAGGGACTTAAGTACCTCTATCTGCTCTTGACTCAAAGAAAAGCCCAAGTCTAAAGAGTCCAAAGTTGATGCCAAAGCCATTTCAAATGAGCCGTCACCATCTTAGTATTGCGTAACATCCTGTCCACCAAACGGCTAGAGCCCTGTGACTGGACCGGCACCAGACTGCCCAGGGTTCCAATGGACCGTGGCTAGGCAAACAATAACACATAGAACAAAATCATTCGTCCAGACTATCGACCTTACTGATTTGTGATGAAAACCTCAACTAAAAAAACTTTGCGTTGATCATTTCTGATAAACCTCGTAAAACAAAGATTATAAGCTTCATGGTTTTAGGTGTTAGAATATTTAATTTATGTTGCCAGTAAAATCGTTGGATTTACTTAGAATCTTTGTTAGCTTTTTCGTGGTATTGCTTAAATTTAATATTTTACTAATCGAGTTTTCTTTTGAATCATTTATTGATTCATAGAGTACTTCTTGGATATAAGCATGCTACACCAGCTGTTCTGAACCTAAACCCTCATAGAAGTTGTGCTCTCCCCTGGACACTTCTAAACACGCATATGTCTGGGCACTTCTACAGAAGAAAAGATAGAAAATCTTGAATTACTCAATGAATCGTTTGTCATATTTCAGTGTTTTCCTTGTTTCCCTTTAATCGCGTTTCCTCTATAGGAGTTCTGGGCAATTTCTGGGATGGAAGAAGGTGATGGGGAAATACGATGGTTCGGTCCTCTCAGCCATTGTGTCTTCATAAAAAATATTGCCTTTCAGGCCTGTGCTAAGATGTCAGCATATCATGACCATTCTGGTGGTGAGTGGCATCACTGATCGGTGCCAAAAGGTGTCCACGGACACACATATCATCAAAAAAGTTTTATTCTGTAAAAGTATGTATTAACCCATTCAGGGGACTGGGACTTGAAAAGCCGTTTTTGCAGTGCTCTTTAGGAGACAACAAAACAGCGTAAAGTATTGCGATGTGGAAGGATTTCCACATTTTCGGGAGTTCAGAATCAACGATTGGAAATGCTGGTTATTTGGCGACATCTGCCAATATCATCTCCCTCTGAGATGCAACCAATCAGCATTTACCACATACTGGGCCATTTTCAAGTACACACCCCAGTTCAGGTACGTGGTTGGTACCAGAAAGGGTTTGGTGAAATGGAGACACGAGCATGCCATTAAGGCCTGGTAAAATTACCCATAAGTTCTGATGGTGGAAAGTGGACTTTTGTGTCAATTAACAACTGTCTCCCTCGGTTTTCTTGCTTTCAATTTGAAACTCACATCTTCCCTACATCTGTTAATCAACCCAGCTGCTCTCACTAGCTGTTTTTACAGGACCAAAGCGTTTTCAAAACGGGATTTGCCGCGGCACTCTGGAGAGGATTTTGGCATTTATAGTAGCAATGCTGAAGCTAGAATATACTGCCATCAGACACCACTCCAACCAAGACGGGATATAGGGAGGTCGCTGGGCGGCCCCTCCGCATGTGATGTACAGGGTCGCGCATTCAGT